GCTGGGGGGGCGCTGGGAGAGGCGGGCAGGCCCTGCCTTCCCCGGGGCAGTGGGAACTGCTGTCCTGTGCTGGAGCCGAACCCGGGCCCGACAGCCATTAGTTTCATTTCTTTTGAATTGAGAAGTAAAGGCCATTACCACGGAGCAGGGGTGTTGGCGGGGGGCGGGGCGGCGGCTCACACGGACCTCTGGCCTCGGGAGCGGAGATGGCCGCCAGTGCTGGGGCGCCGGGCGTCGCCCTGTCACTGCGGGGGGTTTGCGTGCAGCACCGCTGGCGGCTCCCTGCCCGCTGCCCACGTCTCCCCATGACCCTGCCGGCGTGGGGAAACGTCACGGCCCGAGTATTCTGTGGATACGTCGCTACTGAACATCTGTGAAAGTGCCACTTTCTGACTCTGTTTTAGCCAGAAAATCTTGCCTTGTGGGGATATAACTTTCAAGGACCAAGCCCTTTAAGTTTTTTTGGTAATAAATTGCATTTTAAAGCCCGTCAGCGACTGACGAGCAGATGTAAGGCCCGCGGCCGAGGGCGAGGCGGCCTGGCCCTGAGTCCCAGGGAAAGTCCGGTGGGCCGGGCGCTGCCCAGGGCCCATTCTCATCTTCCCTCTCCCCCTTTTCTCTTTACAGAGGTGCAAGCAGTTCTGCTCACTGACATTTTAGTTTTCCTTCAAGAAAAAGACCAGAAGTACATCTTTGCGTCACTGGTAAGCTGAGCCTCGCCTCTCCGCGTCTAACTGGGTGCCCAGAGTGGCCGGCGGCTGAGCGCGCGCCCGTAGCCTGCCCTCTGCCCGCCGGCAGCAGGGTGCTCGGCGCAGGGTCCCGGAGTCGTTCTTTCCGGCCCTGGCGGCTTTCTGTTGCCTCAAGGGGAGTGAAGTCCGCCCCTGGGGTGTTGCTCCCTGGGTTAGAGGCCTGAGACGCTGCTAGGCGCTGGGAAGATCACCTAGAGAGCGCGCGAGGCCCTTCATCGCGATACGTTCCCCTCCCTTTGGCGACTGAGCAGGCTGGGTGAAGCGAGGCCTCCCTGGCCTCGGCCGCCGCCGTGCGTGCCGCCGCAGGGCTGCGCGGGCATCTGGCTGGCCCTCGCTGAGCTGTCCTGGGGTCAGGGCGCTGTCCGTTCATCTTTGACGCCCCTCTCCCAGGACCAGAAGTCGACGGTGATCTCGCTGAAGAAGCTGATCGTGCGGGAGGTGGCGCACGAGGAGAAGGGCTTGTTCCTGATCAGCATGGGCGTCAAGGACCCCGAGATGGTGGAGGTGCACGCGGGCTCCAAGGAGGAGCGCAACAGCTGGATCCAGATCATCCAGGACACGATCAACACCCTGTGGGTTTCTCAGGGGCCCGGGCTCCCCGGCCGGGGGCTGCCTGACCAGCGGCGCCGCTCGGGAACTGGTGCGTCAGTGTCCTTTGTTTTGTCTGTCAGGAACAGAGACGAAGATGAAGGGATCCCGAGTGAGAACGAGGAAGAGAAGAAGATGATGGACACCAAAGCCCGGGAGTTTAAAGGTGAGGCCGCTGGAGGCTGTGCCCGCCCCGGTTCTCGAACAGGCGGGCTCTGAGTGCAGAGGCCAGCCGAGGGTGTGTCGGCCTAGGGTCTCCGTGTCCGTTGCCGCTGCCCCCGGGCGGCCGTGGCCTGGCCGGGACTGGCTTGCTGCCTTCCGAGCCGGAGCCGGCCTCCTGCTCTGCGCTTGCTGAGCTCCGGCCTCCAGGCGCCGAGCGTCCTCCAGGCCAGCAGAGCGCGTCTCAGGGAGGGGGCGGGTGGGCTGCTCAGGAGCCCGGACTGCGGGCGCGGGGCCTGCGTGAGGCGCACAGCCAGGCCGCTGCTCCGTGCAGGGTGCAGAGATCCCGGGACAGGCAGGAGCGGCGCAGAGCGGCGTGCCCACAGCACAGGTTACCCCTGGGGTGACCTCGGCCTGCCCCCAGCGTCTCGTGTTCTGTGTCCAAAAAGAACTTGCCGCCGAGAAGAACAGTTAGGTGAACACTGCAAAGGGGCTGAGTGTCGGGTTCACTGTGCTCAGAGACAGGTCAGGCTGACGAGGCCACAAGGGACAGGGGGTGTTTGGTCCACCTTGTCTTTTTTCGTTGCTACTGAAGCCATTGGGAGAGCTCGCTGAGGGGGCAGAGGCCCCAGGAGGGGAAGACCAGTGCCCCAGGGTAGGTCAGGTGAGCGATGGCCAGTGGGAGCGTCATGAGCAGGTGGCCAGACCACCCTGGTTCCTGCGCAAGGACGAAGGCCGTGTTGGCCAGGCTAGGGGAGGCAGGTGGGGAGAGAGGTTTGGGGCCTGCTGGGAACGAGGCCTCCACGCAGGGCCGCAGAGTGGGCCTCAGCCGTGGCGGGGGCCCTTGTTGGCCTGGCGCTCAGCAAGTTCTGATGTGGGCGCTGCCGGCGCCAGGGACGCAGAGGAAGCAGTACTGAGGGGTGGTGCCCCTGGGGGGAGCCGCGGGACCAGCACGCCCTGCAGAGACCGCGGCGTCCTTAAGGGAAGGAAGGAGCAGCTGGAAAGGAGGCATCTTCAGTGCTAGAAAAGGTGACGGGAGACCTCGAATTTGGTGATGTGGCTGGTGTCAGCCGCCTTGGAGAGAGCAGGAGCAGCGTCCGGAGCAGAAGGCACAGAAGAGGCTGCGGGGAGGAGCCCGGAGCAGCGCAGACCCCCGGGCAGTGTTCAGGTGGTCTCGGCCGGCACGCCCGCTCGTGCGTGCACAGACAGGTGGAATAAATCTTTAAAAGAAAGAAATCACAGCAGGAGAGTTGGCGGTCTGCCTTCCTGGTGAGAGGAAGGGCGGGGGTGCGCGGGCCCTTGCCGCAGGCTGGCCACACGGGGCGCTCGTGTCTCCGCGGCGCAGCCGGCCTCACGCCTCTGTCCGCCTGCAGAGCAGCTTCAGCAGAAGGACCAGCAGATCCAGCTGCTGCTGGAGGAGAAAGAGGTGATTTTCCGGGAAATGACGGAGTGCACCGCCCCCCTGCCAGAGGATTGCTCCCCCGCTCACAGCCTGCGAACGCTCTTCCGCTCCAGCACCGAGGAGGCGCTCAAGGGGGGGCCCTTGATGAGAAGCGCCATGACCGAGGGTAAGGTGCAGCCCTGACACCAGCTCCGCCGCCCTTGCCCCCCAACCGGCCAACCCGGCCCCAACGAAGGGGGGCCCTTTGTGGCCCTGTGATGGCGCAGCTCGGCGGCCCCTGCTCATAGGGGTCAGCACTTCTGCCTCCTTCTGAGTCTTAATGGCCAGTGTCCTCCGCACACAGCTTGTCTTTGAAGCTGCTGAGCTTTGCCCCGTAGCGTCCCTCCCAGTCTGGGTTGCACTCGTGCGCTGCTTCCGTTCTTCGGCCTCCTGTTCCCTTCGGCTCGCGGCCGGACCTGAGTTCTCCGCAGGCCGCACTGTCCTTTCAGGGGCACGGGATACCTGGTTTCCTTTTCGGTGGGGCAGAGCAGAAAAGCGAGGTACTAGGATTCGCGGTGGATGCTTTTCCACCTGTTGTCCAGTTTTCAAATCAGCAGGCAGGCGCATGGCCGCCCTCGGAGTGGCCCGCACAGCGTGAGGGGCCGCACTCGACGGGGCCGCCCCGCCAGCTGTTCCTTACGCAGACCCAGCACGCGGGGCTCCTTCCTGCCACTGAGGAGTTCCTGTTCTCGAGGCGCTCACTCGCTGGCTCTCCCGCCCCCCGTGTCTGCACAGCGTGCACGCCGCACGGGGGGTCAGCCCAGGCCTGGGGGCTTGGCTCCACTCACCCCAGCTCCGAGGGGCTCCGAGGGTCACCTGGATGTCTGGAGCATGTCTGGGAAGAGGCTCTGGGGAATGACAGCCCCGGTCTTGGTTACTGGCCACGAGCTGTGATACCGATTTTCATTGGGAAGTCTCGCGCTGATAGAAAACCCTCGGTCCACCCCGTGTCCTCTTCATCCGCCCACGTGCTCTCTGGACACGTCAGCGCGCAGTGGGTTTGGCTGACCCCAGCTGCTGTCCTGGGTCAGCGGTGGCAGTCCTGTCGCGCCTCATAGCCGTTGGCACTCTGCATCTCCTGCGGCTCTGCTTCTCTGGCTGCATTTGCCCCCCGCGGGCACTTGCAAAGCGGCCTTCGGCTGGCCGGGCTGGCCGGGCTCTCAGCAGCCTTCTCGGCGTCCGTCCGAGGACCCGGCTTCTGCTGCGCTCGGGCTGCAGCAGGGAAGCGCCCTGGCTTCCTCCCACCCTTGCCCTCCGCGTGGGGCTCGATGCCGCTGCTTGCTGGGGTTCGTGGGTGCTGGGGTCAGCGTCCTCACTCGGCGAGGCCCCGAGGCGTCCCGTGGGCTCGGGGTGTGCCGCGAGGCTCGCCCTGTGGAATGCCATCTTCTTTCTCCTCCGTCTCTTGCCCCAGCCCAGGCTGATTTACCGACCCTGAGCGGCGGTCCTGTGGCCAGCCCCCAGGAAGGACCCCGAGCTGGCCAGGCGGGCGAGTTCGGCCCCGCCTGCCGCCCCTCCCCTGCCCCTCCCCTCAGCCTCGCAGGCGCAGGCCTGAGGTGTCCCTGGGCCGCGCGTGGGGCCTGTCTGTGCACGTGGCTGGTGCTGCCGTCTGGGGCCGAGGGGCCAGTCTGGCATGTTTCCTCTCTTCCAGTGGAGCTCCTGCAGGACTTGGTGAGTGGCAGCCTGGGGGGCAGCCTGGGGCCAACGGCCAGCAGCCCCGGGGAGCAGGAAGGCCCGGTGGGCCCCGTCTCGCTGCCTCGCAGAGCGGAGACCTTCGGGGGATTCGACAGCCACCAGATGAGCACTTCCAAAGGTGAGCGGCGAGCGGCGCCCTCCGGCTCCCCCAGCCCCCCCAGTGTGGGGAGAGACCCTCTGGCAGGTCCGTGAGCAGTCGAGGTCTTCTGGACCTCAGCTGAGCTCTCGCCAAAGAAGTGACCACGCCCGCTCGCCCCCGGCTTCCAGTCCCGCTGCAGAGAAGCCGGCGCCGTGCGCGGAGGACACGGACTGCGGCTCCCTGGCCCGGACAGCGCGTCTTCTCCACTGGACCTTTCCTCTTTCACACGTTTCCGTCGGGTTTGCTTTTTAGGAGGTGAGAAGGAAGACGGGGACGACGGCCAGGACCTCAGGAGGACAGAGTCGGACAGCGGACTGAGGAAGGTGCTTACTCCCACCACGCGGTTGCTGAGGCCGCGCTCTCCCTGTGAACTTGGCTTTGAAAGCGGCCCCTCTGGGCCTGTTGTGGGGCCTGGCTCGCTTGTACTTACTGCTTTGAGCAGAAAGCACGTCTCTCAACGGGGGTGCGGGTCAGACCCCTCCCGTGTCGCCCACTGGGCCTCTCTGGTTGGGAGGCGGAGCTCGCCCTGCCAGGAAGCCCGCAGCAGCCTGCCCTGACCAGGCCAGCGACCGTTCTCGGCGCCCTGTGGCGCAGCGGCGGCGGAGGGAAAGGAGGGGGGAGCCGTGCAGACGCGGCTTCACGTGGGACGCTGAGTGCTCGCCTTCCGTCTTGCAGGGTGGAAATGCAAACCTGGTGTTCATGCTTAAAAGAAGCAGCGAGGTAAGGGCATCGTGAGCTGAGAGAGAGCCTGGTCTCTTCCTTGCACGCTGGCCCGGCTGCTGGAAATGGGGGCCCTGGCGCCAGTGTGCTCCCTGAGCAGGGGTCCGCGCTCTGGGAGCCTGGCCCTTTCCTGGGCATCACCTCAGGCTGGCAGGCGGAGTCTGGCTGCTGGACTGGCCCCCACCTCCGCCCTCCAGAGCCGCTGCCTGCCTCGGGACAGTGTGGCGAGCACCCGCAGATGTAGTCCAGCCCCCACGTAGCACACGCCTGGGCGTCCTCGCTGCAGGGTCCACGCGCCTGCCTCCCGGAGTCCCTGTCTGACCGGCGCCTCCCCCGGCAGCCTCTGGGCCCCCCGGGACAGATTCCGAGGGCGGGTCCCCTACCCTGCAGGCTGCACTTCTTCCCCTCGCCCCCTCAGGAGACCCCGCCCAAGTGACCTAGGTGCTGAGCGGGCGACTCGGGCGCTCTGTTCCTCTCGCTGTGATGCAGCGATCCCCTCCTTGCTCCCTGAAACGCGCAGAAGGAAGCCGTGTTGTGGGCACTGAGCTGGAAGGCTGGGGTCTCCTGAGTGTCCCCTTCAGTGTCCGCCCCACGTGAACTAAGACACAGCTGCAGGACGCGCACTCAGCCAGGGCGGCGTGGGCCGGTCCGGAAAGGGGCCGTCGGCGAGCAGGCGGCCGACAGGCCTCCCCCAGGACAGGGGTAAACTGACCTCCGAAGAGCCAAGGCTAGGGAGGTCAGGCTTCAGGTCAAGAAACGGAGTTGGCGAGATGTGAAAGTGCCCAACAGTGGAAGGCCAGGAAAAGCCCCCCGGCCCCCCCGAAGCCCCGCCCAACCGGCCCCGGGCCGCAAGGGGCCGCCCCCGGCCCCGGCCTGGGGCCCCCCCCCGGGGCAACCCCGGCCGGCTTCCTCTGGCCAGTCCCGGACAGCACAGCTGCTTTTCCAGGAAGGGTGGGCCAGCCTCCCCATTCTCCGCGCCCCCCTCCGTGGCCCACGGACGTGCCCCTTGCTCCCCGCCTCCGGTTGGCCGCCGGCCAGTTTGGATGACTCGGCGGCGCGGCGCCGGCCTGCACCCGGTCTCGCAGCCGCGGGTTCCGGGGTGCTTCCTGTCGGGGCTCAGTGCGCGTGCCGGCTGGGCGGGGCTTCTCCTGGCCGGTCTCGGCGCCCGGTGACCTCCGCCCTGTGCCCTTGCAGCAGGTGATGCAGAGCGTCGTCCGCCTGCACCAGCTCCTCAGCGCTCTACAGGTACGCGGCGGCGCGCGGCCCTCGGGTCTGCCGGGAGGGGCTGGGCAGTTTCTGGGCATGGGGGGGCCTCTGTCGAGCAGGCACCACTCTCCTAACCGAGGGGCGGACCCCTGCCCCCGTCTGAGATCCCGCCCCGTGTGCCCAGGGCGTGGTGCTGCAGCAGGACAGCTACATCGAGGACCAGAAGCTGCTGCTGGCAGAGCGGGCGTTGGCGCGGAGCTGCACGCGGCCCAGCTCGCTGATTGAGCAGGAGAAGCAGCGCAGCCTGGAGAAGCAGCGCCAGGACCTGGCCAACCTGCAGCGGCAGCGGGCGCAGCACGAGGACGAGCAGCGGCGGCGGGAGCGCGACTGGGACGCCCGCGCGAGG